CTATCTATCTATCTATCTATCTATCTATCTATCTATCTATCTATCTACCTATCTACCTATCTACCTACCTACCTACCTACAAAGTCTAATCAGAGCTTTAGATTGCATTCATACACCAATGGGACACACATCAGAGACAATGAGGGGTTCAATGTCTTGCCCAGGGACACTTCAGCATGTGACTGCTGGTGGCATTGAACCCCCAACTCTTGCATTGGAGGGTGAATGCTCTAACCACTCAGCCACAGCTGCCCTAAAGTAAGGGAATGCATATCAGCCAACTCCTTTCGTGCCATGGGTTTAGACTCAGATTATTTTATGATGTGCAAGATGGCATCAAAGCCATTTTGGTCAAACCTTAAAAATACCATTGTGGACAAGCTCATGCAATATTACAATATTCCATGCTCTGAGAGTGCATGGTTAATGACTCTCAGCAACTATTGGAAAAAAAAGTTCAATTTCTAACAAAAAAACAACTGTTATGGATATTTTTGTCTGTTACAAAGGCCAAAACATCATAGCCTGCTTTTCATTTTTCAGCCATAGGCAACAAAAAACAGGAACAACTGGATGAATTGTACATGCATTGAAATATTACCAGTTTGCATTTGCATCTTTGCAGGGTGCAAAGTGCGGTGAGGGGCTGCGAACAAGGAACCTGTCGTGTGTCATCCACTGGGGGAACTGGCACGAGTCTCCTCCTCAGCTAGCAGAGACGGAGCTTTGTGGGGATGTGAAGCAGCAGCAGCTCCTTCAGGAGATGGAGCAGCCGTGCTTCGTGCACTGTCCAGGCAAGGATGCATTCAGATTGATTAGAATTGTCATGCTTGCTCTTGTAATGTTGCTGGTATTTTGAAATTTTTTTAAGAACACTGCTTTTTTTAGTTGGAAATTAAAAAAAAATCACTGCAATTTTTTTTAAGCCTGTTGACATTTCAATCCAAACCTCCAGATAATTATTGAGTTTGTCTAACTGAACACTCAATCATTTGTTTCCCCTTCAACACAAAGTATTTGTAATTGTTAGCTAATATATTGTCCTCTCCCTCCACCGCTTGACATTTTCAACAGCTTAATAATTGAAAAATCAATGAAAGTCATAAAATAACTAATGGCTTGTTTAATTGTCCATGATCTGGTTTGGCTCTTCTGATAAGGCAATAAAACATTTTCCTCTTACATAAATAAATAGAGTTTTTTAGGCTAATAAGAGCACAGTTGCTTTAAATAACTTGAAGAAAAAACATGCTTTATGATCAATAACTTAACACCTTTTTTTGTTTGTTTTCCACTCAAGTTTGTAATAAGCTACAAGCAAATAAGGCACAAAAAAAACATATTATGTGCTAATTGAAGCAATTACCAGATCACACTGCCTGGAGCAATCACCTTGTCTCTGACAATCACTCCGCTTATCGGGTGCATGCAGTTTATGCTGATGGGAGTAGTGCATGGGGAGAGCGGGTGTGAAAGTAATAACTTCATTGGCAGAAATCAAACCTTCACCTGAATTAAACCGCTTTAAAATGAGAGCACTTTAAGCACGTTTAGTGTGAATTTTGCAAAGTCGTCAAAAAAAAAAAGTATTGCGGTTTATTGATTCACTAATATGTCCTTTATTTTTCTATTTCAAATAGTGATCATACAAAGTTTTCACACCATCAAACAAAAAAACAAACAAAATAAATAATGATAAACAAAAAACATGAGCAGTTTTCAGTTTTTCCTTTTAAAACTGTGAACAAAGATGCTGCACACACTTGATCTCTATGAAGCTGCAGTGAACACCTTTAAATCAGCACATCACTACTATCCTTGGTGAGCTATACTGTTTTACTACCTGCTGATTTTGCCTCTAAACGCGAGGTGGGTTGTTCTCCCTAATGCCAGGTGTGTTTCTGTTATTGTGCAAATCAGTGTCAGTAACAGTGTAATTTGAAAGAACTTGTCCAAGACACAGATTAAGTAAATTAGATGTGTATTATACGCTGATTATATAAACGATGAGTGCAAGGCCTTTAGGAACGTGTGTTTAAATCAAACCATGTGTGGTGATATATCGTCAGCTTGTATGCATTTTGTAATGGGGGAAGTTATCAGAATCAGCTTTATTGTCATTGCATAGAAGCACCACTAAATTACGTTCCAGTACAACCCATCCAAGTAAAACAAACAGACAGACATGGGGGGGACGGAGGTGTCTGAGGCCGCGGCCCTGTGGGAGGCACAGCTTTTTTTGTTTAGATAGGAAAAGAAAAACATGGGGGAAGGGGAAATATATATATATATATA